CCTCTCGCGAGGTCCGGGGGCGGCTGGCAGGCGGCCCAGGGAGAAGCGGAGAGCGTTGGAAGGGGGAGCTCGGAGACGGCGGCGAGCTCGCGCGCGCGCGCGGCCTGGAGCGCCCAGGCCCGCCCCGGCCACGGCTCGCCCGGGGCCTCCTCCGGGCCGAGAGCGGCGCTCGCAGCCGGGATCTCCTCGCCGGCGCCGGGGCCTGGCGGCCGCCCCCGGAGCACCTGGGGCCCGGGAGGGGGCGCGCGGGCCGGGGACCGACTCGGTGGCCCGCGGGCCGGGCGGAGAGCCGGGCCGGGCCTGGAGTGAGTCAGAAATCACCTTGTTTAATTACCCATTCCCGAGGCCGCCGAGCGCGATAGGGGCCTTTTGAACTTGACAATTAGAGGTGAAATATCGCCTTCTAATTTAGACGAGTTTAATTCGGTCACGCAGAAATAGCAACAGCCCCGGGGCTCCGAGATGGGATATCAAGTCTCTGCTGGCACGTCGTAGTGGCGCGGCGAGCCCGGCCAAAGGGCGCAGAGGGGAGGGGACGACGGCGACGCAGCCACTGCGGGTCCTCGCTCCCCGAGCCCCAGCCGAGGATTGGGGGCGGGGACACAATGGGGGAGGGGAGCTCCGGGCCGAGCCCCCGAAGAAGGAAAGGTCCTTTCTCTGGGTGGGTGCAGCCCCGGGCGAGGAGGCCGTCGAACCGGGGTCCAGATGCTGGCCTGCTTCCGTGAGACCTTTGTGTTGTGGGACTCCAGAAGAGTGAGCGGCTGGGAACCTGGGAGGTTTTCCGATAGAGAGAAGCGACTGCCAGGCAGAGGGAAGAGGGTGGGCGTTGCTGGAGGAAGACAGGAAAGGTGGCCACGGGCCCTTTTTTACCACCTGGGGCGTTTCTAAGCAGTGATCTGGAGTTGAGTCGGGCTGCCTGAGCTCTAGTTTCTCTGAGTTATAGTTCGCTAGCGGGGCGACTTTTGAGCTCTCCAAGCCTCAATTCCTTACTGCAAAATGGACTTGCCGATATTATCTGCCTCATTGGGTTGCAGCGAGTATTCCATGAAATAATGCGCTATAAAGGGCCTGGCATGCGGAAAGTCTTTTTGATGAGGACAGCATCATCCAATAGAAAGAAATGTTCTAGTAGCCACATTTGTAAAAGCGTAAAAGAGTGACATTCATTTTAATATATTTTATTTAATACATATATTTAAAAATCATTTCAATGTATAATCAATATAAAATAATTACGAATGAATCTTCAAAATCCAGTGTGTGCTTTACACTTAAGTGCACGTCTCAATTCAAACTAGCACATTTCAAGTGCTCAACTGCTGCACAGGGCTGTGTATTGGACCACCCAGGAATAGGGCTTTCTTTTTTTTTTTTTTGAACTGGAGTCTCATTCTGTCGCCCTGACTGGAGTGCAGTGACACACTCCTGGCCACCACAACCTCGACCTGCTGGGCTCTGGCAATCCTTCCGCCTCAGCCTTCCAAGTAGCTAGAACTACAGGTGTATACTACTACACCCGGCTAATGGGCTTTTGTTCTTAATCTTTCTTAGCAGAGAACTGGGCTTTACCCAACAACAACCAAAAAAAAGGAAAATGAAATCTTGCACAGAAGCCCATAATACATAGCAGAGAGAGATGAAGCTGCTCTGAAGCTCTACTGAATCACCTCTCCCCACTCCTCCCTAACAGTATTTCTCAAATCACCTCTGCCCCTAGCATTTTTTAGACCCTCTGGTTCAAATTGGGCTTTATAAGTTTACAAAATGCATGTGCTATGTCACTCGAGTGGGTCCCTACCATGCCCTGTGAGGTAGGAAGGGATATCACACATCTACCACCAGTAGGTAAACTTAGTCCTAGGTCTGACTCCAGGGTGCCCCATCTCCCTTCCCCCCTTCCCCACCTCAGGTCTACCTGGCCTGGGCTTCCACAAGTGGCCACCAGGCCATAAGATGAACTGACAATACATCTGACCCTAAGGCCCAGGTGCCACCAGCCTTGCCATCCTCACATTTAGTAACTCACTGTGCCAGGTATTAGGCTAAGTTCTTTATATATCTTCTCTTAATCCTCATAATAACCTTGAGAGATACTAAGAATTATTATTGCCATTTTTAAATAAGATAACTAAAGCTCAGAGAGGCTAAGGAACTTGCCCAAAGACACTCAACCAGGGCGCAGTAGAGCTGGGACCTGAAGCTAGGGGTCTGGACAGCTGTGCTATCAAAATCCCAGAGCAAGCACTTCTGGGAGGCTGAGGTGCAAGGATTGCCTGAACCCATGGGTTCGAAACCAGCCTGGACAACTTGGCAAGACCGCATCTCTACAATAAATAAAAAAACTAGCTGGGCATGGCAGCACACACCTGTGGTTTGAGCTACCTGGAAGACCGAGGGAGAAGAATTGCCAGGCTGCGATGGCCATGAGTGTGCCACTGAACACTGAATGTGCCTGGGTGACAGAGTGAGACTCTGACTCAAAAAAATAAAAGCCAGAGCATAGGCTAGGCTTGGTGGCTCAACCTATAATCCCAGTACTTTGGGAGGCTGATGTGAATGAATTGCCTGAGCCCATGGGTTTGACAGCCCAGGCAACTTGGTGAGACCTCATCTCAACAATTTAAAAAAAAAACAACAGAGCATAGGGTCTTCTCTATGTTGAAAATGATTCCTCAATACGTCATGCTCTGAGATTTTCTGGAAGTTAGACTCATGTTCTTTGCAGAGGTAGCTTGGGGTGATAGAATGAGTTTGGAGGCGCACTCTGCCACTCAATGGCTCTGAGCCTCAGTAACCCCAGGTGTAAAGAAGGACTGACAGATGATATTATGTGCCAGTCTTTCCCCTTAGTAAGTGGGAGGAAGATCACCTGCAGGTGGCTCCAGACAGGGCTGTAGAGGGTTGTATCTTTTTATCTTTCAGTAACTCAAGTCTAATCCCTACCCACCCCTAGCACAGAGGTTTCCCGTTTATCCAGCTCAAAAGGGAGGGTCACATGGGAGTAGAGGGTGCAGAATGGAAGCTACAGGCCACCTAAGGTGGCCCGGGGGAACCAAGTTAGAAGGAGAAGCCAGGGGCGGGACCAGGGTCTTGAGCTCTAAGGAAGACTTCCTCTCCAGCCTGGGGTCTGGGGCAGGGGCTGCTGCCTCAGCACAGGCCATCCCTCCCAGGCTGAGCTCAGGAATGGGAGGTGATGCCGCCCAGGCATGCTTCCTGGGAGAGGAGGAATGAGGCCTCTTTCCAGAGGAGCAGACTGTGAACTGAGATGAGGCTTCTGGAACCTCTCTTGCTGGAAGAGGATACCAACTGGGCCATGCGTGCGGGGCACAACTGGGTCTGCCCTGGGGGATGCCCTGGCTGGGTGTGGAGGGGTCAGGCCTGCGAGAACTTCAAGTTAGCAGCTGCAGTGCTTGTTCTGTGTTGTGAGCCCCGAAACGTTTTCTGCTCTCAGGGAGATGGAGGAGGAGGTGACAAGAGCGAGGCAGCATGTTCTCTTCCCTAAGCTCCGATTCCCTTGGTAACCTATAGGCGATCACTGACACTCCCAGCTTCCAGCAAAAGTGATGCGAGGGAGCAGGGGTTCTCCAGGAGCAGCCATGAGCCAAGTGAGCAGCTACACCTGGGCTGTGTCACCCCAGCATCTCTACCCAGGCTCACTCAGAATGACTCCTTCAAGACACCCTTACTCTAATCAAACCAAGATGGAATTCCCCCCCCCCCATGCAAATCAAGCCAAGCTGTTTTACAAGAACGCAATTGTGACTAAACCTGAAACCTGAACCTGAAAACCCAGCTGCTGGGTCATGTTGCCTTTTCCCGAAGGCTCAGCTAGATCCAGCTTCAGCAAACTCATGCCGATCAAGGCATTTCGGTTGTCAAATCATTGGTCACAGTGCAACTGAAATCATCCCCCAGTCAAGGCCCAGCTGAATCACTCCAACCCTCTTCCCCAGTCCAGCCACCCCTCACCTCACACCCCGTCTTATGCAGGCCTGGAGCAGCCAAGGCCTGGCAGAGCCCCACCCTGCACAGCTGCAGATATTTATAGCTTATCCCTTTTCCAGCCCTGTCCAGGCTTCTGGGGGCTCTACTGTGATTGCTCTTGATCTCCCTGGGCTCCCTGCTGAGAATTCAAACCCTGGGCATCCTGAAGTTCGGGAACAAGTTTTCCCAAAAAATTGAAATTGTGTTGCTCTAACATTGAAGTCACCTTTTGCAGTACGTGGTTGGGAGTAAGGAGAATTGAGGGCAATAAATTCCTGACACAATTTTCTTTGGGTATTTTTGGCTTACAGTGCCGGCGTCTACCTACAGTCCATCCCCAGGAGCCAATTACAGTCCAGCTCCTTACACCCCCTCACCTGCCCCTGCCTACACCCCCTCACCTGCCCCTGCCTACTCTCCATCCCTGGCACCAGCCTATACCCCCTCACCTGCCCCCAACTATAACCCTGCCCCCTCGACGGCCTACAGTGGGGGCCCTGCGGAGTCTGCCAGCCGTCCTCCCTGGCTGACAGATGACAGCTTCTCCCAGAAGTTTGCCCCTGGCAAGAGCACCACCTCCATCAACAAGCAGGCCATTCCCCGGGGGACTCCAGCCTACAACCCTGCTGGTCCCCAAGGCTCCCCGCTTGCCAGGGGCACCATCCAGAGGGCAGAGCGCTTCCCAGCCAGCAGCCGGACTCCACTCTGTGGCCACTGCAACAACGTCATCCGGTATGGTATAGGTATATCCTCGTGCTGGGGTGGTGAAAGGATAAGAGTGCAGGGTGCTTGCCTACAGTTGGAGCCCTAAAGTCGGGGATGGGGTGGGAGGCAAGTGTAGGGTGAAAGCCGCGTGCAGGGCAGCTTCAGGTTCCTCTGGCTTGCCATTTGGCCTGACCCTTTCTGAACTTTAACTGCCATACCTGTGTGACACCCACTTCCCCAGGGAGTTGAGAGGATTGCATGAGGTAAGGGGATAAAGCTCCCAGAAGGGTGCCTGGTGCCAGGCACTCTCCCTTGGGCTAAGGCTGGGTTCTGGGAATTGCCAGTCTTGTTGTCAGTAGGTTTATTGGGCATGTCGCAAGCTGGCTGACAGTGTTGGTTTTGACCGAGCTTCTCTTTAGAGGTGCTCTGGTCTTCCCACAGACAGACCTGTATTGCTCAGGGCATTGGTGGGCGTCTGCCACACTAAGCTGAAAACAAGTCATTTCACACTTAGAAACCATGGATCATGGGTGGTGGTGTCTGAATATAGTGTGTGTGTGTGTGTGTGTGTGTGTGTGTGTGTGTGTGTGTGTGTGTGTGTGTATGAGAGAGATGTGAGCTTATATATATGAAAAATGCACTTCCTTAAAAATCAAGTAATATATACTAATTAGAGAAGAATTACAAAATACAGAAAAGCGAAAAGTGGAATATAGAAACATTTCCGAACCTTGCGTTGTTAGACTCTGGTGTGGCCATGTGCTCTTTGAGCTATGGCTGCTGCCATGCTACCTGGCTTTGGCAGGCACCCACCATGGGGAGGTGGATCGTCTTTCTCTCTCTCTCTGATTTACTTTAAATAAACTATATTTTCTAACCTAAAAAATAGGCCAGGTGCAGTGGTGGCTTAAGCCTGTAATCCCAGCACTTTGGGAGGCCAAGGCAAGAAGATTGGCTTGAGACCAAGGGTTTGAGACCAGCCTGGGCAACTTAATGAGAGCTCGTCTCTACAATAAATCAAAAAAATTAGCCGGGTGTGGTGGTTCGCACCTGTAGTTCCAGCTACTTGGAAGGATGAAACGGAAGGATGGCCTGAGTCCAGCAGGTCAAGGCTGCGGTGACTGTGAGCGTCTTACCGCATTCCAGCCTGGGCGACAGAGTAAGGCTCCAACTCAAGAAAAAAAAAAATTCTAAATAAATAAATAAAATAAAACATTTCCCCATAGTCCCACTTCTGACTACTAACCTGGAACTAGACTATCCAGGTTTGTATTCTGGGTCTACACTTACCAGCCCTATGACTTTGAACAAGTTGTTCAAACTCTCTGTGCCTCAGTTTCCTTGTCTGAAAGTGGGTATATAATTGTATTTACTTCATAGGGTTGTTGTGAGAATCAAACAAGTTAATAAATGCAAAAATCTTCCTGAATAATGCCTGATACAGAGTAATCACTTGATAAATGTCAGCTTTGACCAGGCACAGTAGCTCACGCCTATAACCCCAGCACTTTGGGAGGCTGAGGTGGGAGGATTGCCTGAGTCTGTGGGTTCGAGACCAGTCTAGGCAACTTGGCAAGACCTCATCTCTACAATAAATCAAAAAATTAGTCAGACATGGTAGCACGCACCTGTAGTTCCAGCTACTTGGAAGGCTGAGGCTGAAGGATCGCCTAAGCCCAGCAGGTCGAGGCTGCGGTGGCCATGAACATGCTACTGCACTCCAGCCTGGGCAACAAGAGTGAGACTCCAACTCAAAAAAAAAAAAAATAGGCCAGGCTCGGTGGCTCAGCCTGTAATCCCAGCACTTCAGAAGGCTGAAGTGAGTGGAATGCCTGGACCCACGGGTTCAAGACCAGCCTGGGCAACTTGGCAAGACCTCGTCTCTACAATAAATAAAAAATTAGCTGGGCGTGGTAGCAGGCATCTATAGTTTCGGCTACTTGGAAGGCTGAGGCGGAAGGCAATGAACACCTTTCTGCATGGAGCATTCTCTGAATTTCACATTTTTTCATTAAAACAGTCATAAAAGTCAGAGTTATTGGGAAAAATTCTGTTGGTGTGCTTGAGCTACCTGCTTCCAAATTTGGGGACTGCCTTATTATGTGCTATTCTCTGCTTCCACAGGGGCCCTTTTCTGGTAGCCATGGGCCGCTCCTGGCACCCAGAAGAGTTCAATTGTGCCTACTGCAAGACCTCCCTGGCAGATGTGTGCTTCGTGGAGGAGCAGAACAATGTTTACTGTGAGCGGTGTTATGAGCAGTTCTTTGCCCCCGTCTGTGCCAAGTGCAACACCAAAATCATGGGGGTAAGTGGGTAACACCCTCTCCTCTGACCTCTGTTTCTTCCTTAGCTCTGACCAACTTCCCCATCCCCAAAGACTGTGTGGTCCCATTAGGAAGCCAAGAAGTTGCTGGTAACAGAGAGAAAGCAGCTCCATTTTTACTCTAGAAGGGAGTTGGTTAGCCACCAATAAACTAGGGAGTAAATGAACTTGAAGGAAGAGATGATTATACACCTGTGCCACACAGCTTGAAGTGGTGGTGGAATTTCTGCAAAGCAAGCGATTGCTTCATAGCCTGACCTCACCACTTACCTGCATACAACCTTGACCCTTGAGGCCCCTTTGGGAAAATGGCAGTAATAAGCAATACTTCCTCCCAGATTTAATAGGAGAATTAAATAACACAGCTTATGCAAGAACACATAGAACCTGGCACCCAGCTGGGTAGTGAGAACCCCTTCTCTGCCACCCCCAGGCCTTTCTTCGAGGTGTCTAAGGCCTCCTTCCTGAGTTCTCCTGCCCTGTTCCCTGGTGGGATGCTTAAGCAATGGATGGCTCCTGGTGGGGCAGTCAAACCCAGTTCCCTCTCTCCCCTGGATCTTTCTATCCTGAGCTCAGGCTCTTTCCCTCAGGAAGTGATGCATGCCTTGAGACAGACATGGCATACCACCTGCTTCGTCTGTGCGGCCTGCAAGAAGCCTTTTGGGAACAGCCTCTTCCACATGGAAGATGGGGAGCCCTACTGCGAGAAAGGTAGGGATGCTGCAATGCTATGTGGTGAGACCCCATGGTCTGGGAGAAAGGGGCAGGCACAGGAGCTAACTCCTGCCTATAACCATTCACATCTGACCCTCAGGAGCCCTTTCTTTCTGGAAGAAGGATTTTTGTTTTTAATAATGGAGTCATGCTAATACACAAGGAAAGTTAATTGAACTTTCCCCCTTGCCCATCTGGTGCAGCTTTCCTGGGACAAAGCGGGTTGGGGGGGTATATCTTATTTTACACATCCAGGCCCTGCATCAAATATGTAGATCAGCCGGGCACGGTGGCTCACGCCTATAACCCCAGCACTTTGGGAGGCCAAGGTGAGAGGATTGCCTGAGCCCACAGGTTTAAAACCAGCCTGGGCAATTTGGTGAGACCGAATCTCTACAATAAATAAATAAATTTTAAAAATTAGCCAGGCATGGTGGCATGTGCCTATAGTTCCAGCCACTTAGAAGACTGAGGCAGAAGGATTGCCTGAGCCCAGCAGGTTAAGGCTGTGGTGGCCAGGAGCATGCCACTGCACTCCAGCCTGGATGACAGTGAGACTCCTACTAAAAAAAATGTAGATCACAAGTTGGCATTTTATAACCACTTGGAAAACCTTTCAGGCTAGTATGACTTAGAGACCACAAGGTCTAAAAAGACCTTAGCTCTGGACTCCATCCTACATTCTATTCCTGGCTCCATTTTGGACTGACTCTGTAACCCTGAATGAGTCACTAACCTTCTCTGAGCCTCACTTTCCTCCTCTGTAAACACCTGCCTTGCGGGTTGTGGTAAAGATTAAACCAGAGAAGTGTGTAAAGCATCAAATACTCAAAGAGTTCCCATCCCCTTTTTCTGTGATGGTTATCAGACTTTGATGTTCCTTCAGATTCCTGTAATCTCACTGTCTGAATTCAGAGTTTCTCTGTATCCCCCAAATGCTATATGCTATTTTTAAATGTAGGGTAAATTATCATAAACTCAGGAGACAAACATTTTATTAGATAACTGGGAGTCCTGGGTAACTAACCATTCACTTACTCATGTATTCCTTGCTTGCCCTTTTCAGAAAGGATTTGAGGCAGGTTCCAGCAAAGATAACATAGATATGAAGGTTAAGACAGTAGAACCATAAAATCAGAAGGCAAGGCAAGCATACTGATTATGAAGAATAACAAAGCTGCAGTGATTGACTGGGTAGCAAATTTGAGGGCAAAAAGAGAAACATAGTAAGTTAGTTTACTTTAAATTCAGAGAGGAGAAAACATTCAGTTCCTCAAAGGAAAAAAGCAAAAAAAACCACAATTTATTTCCCCTGACAGTAAATTAGAAAATAAACTTGTATTCTTATACCAGTGAATTGTCTTTCCAGCTCTGAAGTTAATTGAATGACTTTAAACAAGTCACTTAGTTACTCTGTGCATCAGTTTTCATATCTGTAAAAGGGAAAAGATAACACTTGTCTTTTCCCTTCTTCTTCTCTCTCTCTCTCTCTCTCTCTCTCTCTCTCTCGCTCTCGTTCTTTTTTTTTTCCCCCCCGAGTTAGGCCTCACTCTATTGCCCAGGCTGGAATGCAGTGGCATGATCATGGCTCACTGCAGACTCAATCTTCTGGGTTCAGGTGATTCTTCCACTTTAGCTGGACTACAGGGGCACACCACCATGCTCAGCTAATTTTTTTTTTTTAATTTGGGGGTCGGGTGCAGAGGCTCACGCCTGTAATCCCAGTGCTTTGAAAGGCCAAGGTGAGAGGGCTGCTTGAGCCAAGGAGTTTGAGACCAGCCTGGGCAACTTGGTGAGACCTCGTTTCTACTTCATTTTATTAATACATCAAAAAAAATAGCCAGGCATAGTGGCACGCGCCTGTTGTCCCAGCTACTCAGGAGGCTGAGGCAGAAGGATCGCCTGAGCCCAGAAGATGAAGGTTGTGATAGCCCTGATTGTTCCACAGCAAAAAAAATTACTTAAAATACACTTCCTTAAGCAACGAGAGTCATTGAAATGTTTAAGGCAAGGAAACAGCACAATCTAATTTTTATTTTAGAAAAGTATTAGAAATATACTGTGTTTGTTGAATGTAATAAAGAATTATATTCTTTTTTCTTTTTTTGAGTTGGAGTCTCACTCTGTCACCCGGGCTGGTGTGCAGTGGCATGCTCATGGCCACCCTAGCATTGACCTGCTGGGCTCCGGTGATCCTTTTGCCTTAGCCTTCCAAGCAGCCGGAAGAATGATATTCTTTTTTTTTTTCGTAATAAGTAATTGTTTTAAGCTACTGGGGTTTGGAGTTGGTTTGAAGAATGATATTCTTATGAACAAAGTAGAGAAAGGAAGGTTAGATGATCCAACAGTTAGGTAAAGGCAAACATGGATGGTAACCTGCCCAAGAATTGGAAAAATAGATTGGAGTCAGCCAGGAGGAAGGTCCCTGATGTCATACTATAAGACACTGTGCTTAGCTCTGACCTTGTCATCATTTTTTTAAATTATGGTAAAAGCCATATAACATAAAAGTTACCATCTTATCCACTTTAAGTGTACAGTTCAGTAGTGTTACATATATTCACATTGTTGTTAAATAAGTCTCCGAAACTTTTCCATCTTGCAAATCTGAAGCTCTGTACCGATTAAGTAACTCCTCTTTGTCCCTTCACCTCAGCTCTTGGTAACTACCATTCCACTTACTGTTTCTACAAATTTGACTTCTATACATATCTCATATAAGTGAATCATACAGCATTTGGGGGTTTTTTGGTAACTAGCTTATTTCACTTAACAAAATGTCCTTAAGATTTATCCATGTTGGCTCAACCTGTAATCCTAGCACTTTGGAAGGCCAAGGCGAGTGGATTGCCTGAGTCCACAGGTTCAAGACCAGCCCAGAAAACTTGGCAAGACCTTGTCTCTACAATAAATAAAAAAAATTAGCCAGGTACTATAGCATGCGCCTGAAGTTCTGGCTATGTGGAAGGCTGAGGTGGAAGGATCGCCAGAGCCCAGCAAGTTGATGCTGGGGTGGCCATGAGTGTGCTACTGCACTCCAGCCTGGGACAACAGAGTGAAACTCCAACTCAAAAAAAAAAAAAAAAAAAGATTCATCCATGTTGTAGCATGTGTCAGAATTTCCTTCCTTTTTATGGCGCAATAATACTTCATTGTATAGCTAGACAACATTTTGTTTAACAGTTCATTTATTAATGAACACCTGGGTTGCCTCTACCTCTTGGTTATTGTGAAGAATGCTGCTACGTACATGGGTATGTAGATATCTCTTCAAGACCCTGTTTTCAACTCTTTTGAGTATATATTGAGAAGTGGGATTGCTGGATTATATGATAGTTTTGTTTTTTATTTTTTAAGGATATGCATACTGTTTTTCTATAGTGGCTGCACCAGTTTAGCCTCCCACCAACAGGACACAAGGATTCCAATTTCTCCACATTCTTGCAAATACTTGTTATTTTCTGTTTTTATTTTGTTTGTTTTGTTTTGTTTTTTGAGTAGGAGTCTCACCCTGTCACCCAGGCTGGAGGGCAGTGGCATGCTCCTGGCCACCGCAGCCTCGACCTACTGGGCTCAGGTGATCCTTCTGCCTCAGTCTTCCAAGTAGCTGGAAGTACAGGCACGTGCCACCATGCCTGGCTAATTTTTTGATTTATTGTAGAGATGAGGTCTCGCCAAGTTACCTAGACTGGTCTCGAACCTGCAGGCTCAGACAATCCTCTCACCTTGGACTCCCAAAGTGCTGGTGTTATAGGCGTAAGCTACCACACACAGCCTTGTTTTGTTTTAATAGTAGCTATCCTAATGGGTATAAGGTGATATCTCATTTTTATTGTTATCAACTTGGAAGAAGACACATAAGGGAGCCTGTAATATATGCAGAATGAGTCAGAATGATATGGTCTAGACTGAAAAAGACTTCAGTTGGCTGCAAAGATGAGCAGACACTTTTTTTTAGATTGGAAAATATAGTTTATTTAGAAGATAAATGAGAGAGAAAGGGAGAAGAGATTCACCTCCCCAAGGCAGGAGAGGGGACCAAAGCTAGGAAACATGGCAGTCATAGCTCAAAGCTAGGAAACATGGCTGTCATAGCTCAAAGAGCCATGTGGCCTGACCAGAGTTTAACAAAGCAATGACCTGATCTTTATGTAAGATCTGCATACAAGGAAGCGAGGTAGAAGGCCAACCCCTCACAGACGAACCTGCACTTGTGCAGTTCTCAAGCCTGGTAGGGCATTACAATCATCTAGGGAGCTTTAAAAACTAGAGGGAATTTTCAGTCCTACAGAAGCAGAATTTCGTAGGATGCACCATGCTACCCTAATGATTCTGAGATTCAGTCAGGTTTGGGAGTCAGAAGTGTTTTTCAAGATGTGGTCCCAATGCCAGCAGCATTAACATCACCTGAGAACTTGTTAGAAATGCAGATCTTAGCCGGCCTCGGTGTCAGCCTGTAATCCCGTGCCTTTGGGAGGCTGAGGTGAGTGGGTTGCCTGAGCCTGTGGATTCGAGACCCACCTGGGCAACTTGACAAGACCTCATCTCTATAATAAATCAAAAATTAGCCGGGTGTGGTAGCACACGCCTGTAGTTCCAGCTACTTGGAAGGCTGAGGCGGAAGGATCGCCGGAGCCCAGCAGGTCGAGGCTGCGGTGGCCGGGAGCGGCCACTGCACTCCAGTCTGGGTGACAGAGTGAGACTCCAACTCAAAAAAAAAAAAAATGCAGATCTTCAGGCCCCACCCAGATCTGGTAAATCAGAAATGCTGGGAGTGGAACCTGGCAATCTGTGTTTTAACAGACCCTCCATGTGATTCTAATGCTTGAGAACCATCACTCTAGAAAAGCACTAAACCCTTTCTCAACACAGAACATCTCTGATTTGATGGACGAGAATACTTTTACTATAGCAATAAAATTCATTAAATACAAGGATATGTATTCAACTTGGGACAAAAGAGAATTAGTTAAGGAAAATTAGAAAGATTTAAAGGTAGAAATAAAAGAAGGAATAAATAAATGAGGAGCTAGATTATGTTCCTGATGGGAAAGGCCTATGTGTAGACTTAATTCAATACATATGATGTTCTCCTTGTATAGAGTAGATGAGGAAAAACACCAACTTTTGAAAAAATGTAGTAGGGTCAGACCCATGCTACCAAATTCTGAAACAAAGTAGCAATTCTCCAGATAACATGGAATCCAATTTATTCAGAAATAAATTCATTCCGGAAATAAGTTCAAGCCATTGTAAATGCTTATTTAGTGAACAACCAAAAGGAGGAGGAATTACTATTTAATCAGATTGTTTGACCATTTCTTCATTTTCCTGCTCATCATTTATCCGTCAAGTATGTGTTGAGTTTGTACTCTGTGTCCACATGGAGGGCACTGAAAATAGAGGTGAGCCTGGCAGGGTCTGTACCCTCAAAAAGCCTTAAGCAAACCCATCATCATGTGAGATGCTGCCATTTACATGAACAGTCAAGAGATGATGGATGGATGGATGGATGGATGGATGGATGGATGGATGGATGGATGGATGGATGGACGGACAGACGGATGGACGGGTAGATGGAGAGATGGATGGGCAGAGAGGCAAGCCCAGGGGAAGCCCTTGGGAAGGTCATCTAATCTCTCTTAGTTGGGGTAGGGGAGGAAGACTTCCTAGAAGGAAGGCCTGGCCCAAAGTGTTGCAGAGATTCAGGTAGAGAAAGTGGGAAGGGTTTTAAGCCCAGGACCTGGTTTACACAGAGGCGTGAAGGCTTAAGAGAGAGCCCAGGGCACCAAGAGACTAACTGGGAGTGATGAGAAGTTAGAGTGGGATGCAGGGCTTGTTCTCAGGTGGAAACGAGACAGCCAACACCCCACATTATTAAGTTGCTGCAGAGCATAGAGTGAATCATTAACCTGTCATAACTTTCTAAAGGAAGAAGAATGATGTTTTCTTGGTTCTGGTGAGGTGATAAATTTCTGCCTACTAAAGAAATTAAGTGCCGGGCTCGGTGGCTCAGCCTGTAATCCCGTGCCTTGGGAGGCTGAGGTGAGTGGATTGCCTGAGCCCGCGGGTTCGAGACCTGCCTGGGCAACTTGGTGAGACCTCACCTCTACAATAAATTTAAAAAAAATTAGTCGCACGTGGTAGCGCACACCTGTAGTTCCGCTACTTGGAAGGCTGAGGCGGAAGGATCGCCGGAGCCCAGCAGGTCGAGGCTGCGGTGGCCAGGAGCGGCCATTGCACTCCGGTCTGGGTGACAGAGTGAGACTCCAACTCAAAAAAAAAAAAAAGAAATTAAGTATTCTGTCAGAGACAAGATTGAGGTACTGGGAAGCATAAGAGTATTTGCATGACAATCTATAATTAAGCACAAAAGAGGAAGCCATATATTGGCAAAAATATGCAAGACATAAGTATAACTTATCAAAGCTCAATGGCTAAGAAATAAAGAGCTGGAGACAGCATAAAGCCATGGAAGGAGGGTGAACTTTGGAGTCTATCAGGCTTGGGGCTGATCCATCTCTCATGTGATGGAACCTCCCCAGTCAGTTTCCTTGCCTTTAAAGTGGGAATATTGTCACTTCACAGAGCTGCTGTGAGGTTTAAACAAGAAATACAATGGTACTCAAATCATGATTCTCTTTCCTCTTTTTATCACTTATGGAGACTTTTAAAATAAGACCCAACATTTTTAAGTGTTTGTGCCAAGTACTTCATTTACATTGAACAACCCCATGAGTCTGGTAATATAATTATTCCCGCTATATAGATGAGAAAGCTGAGGCCGTGAGGAATTAGATGACTTTGCCCTAGGTTTGAACAATTCCTTAATAAAGCTGGGATTTGAATCCAGCTTTTTCTTCAGAGTTCAAATTTGTAATCCCCATGGCACACTGCCTCTCAGTGTGTAGCCCAAGACAATGAACTGTTCACAAAGAGATGAACAGAAAATCACTGTAAGAAAAAGTCAACTGTGGCAGAGCTGTGGGGAGATGAATACACTTCTAGGGGGAATTAAGGCTTTGGAAAAGGGATTGAGCTTTTCTGGAAGTGTGGTAGAACTGGTGGCCCTTCTGACCAGAAAGGACAGCAACTGTGGTAGAGGAACACAGAACCTGACCCATTGTGCCTCAGCTGTGGGATGCTGGCTGGGTCCTTTACCTCTTTTTTTTCTGAGTTGGGTTCTCACTCTGTTGACCAAACTGGAGGGCAGTGACACAATCATGGTGCATCGTAGCCTCAACCTTCTGGGCTCAGGTGATCCTTCCACATGCCACCATGCCTGGCTATTTTTTTGTTTTTGTAGACACCAGGTCTTGCTATGTTCCCTAGGCTGGTCTCCAACTCCTGGGCTTAAGCAATCTTCTTGCCTCAGCCTCCCAAAGTGCTGGGATTACAGCCACTGCACCTGGCCTTTCACCTCTTTTTTTTTTTTTTTTTTTTTTTGAGTCAGAGTCTCACTCTGTAGCACAGGTTGGAGTGTAGTGGCACGCTGCTCACGACCACCACAGCCTTGACTGCTGGCCTCAGGTGATCCTTCTGCCTCAGCCTTCAAAGTAACTGGAACTATAGGCATGTGCCACCATACCTGGCTAATTTTTTGATTTATTGTAGAGATGAGGTCTCACCAAGTTGCCCAGGCTGGGCTTGAACCCGTGAGCACAGGCAATCCTCTCACCTTGGTCTCCCGAAGTTCTAGGATCATAGGTGTGAGTCACTGCACCCAGCCCCCTTCACTTCTTTGAGTCTGTTTTCTCATTCACAAAACAAAAAAATAATAATAGTTCAATCTCTGAGGGATTTTTGTGAAGATTAAGTTCATTGATTGATTTATTAATCCCCTTCATGCATACTGGGTAGTGATTATGTCCTAGGCATTGCGCCTAGAGAGAACTAAGAAGTAGTCTTTGTTGTTGAGGTATTTGTAAATAATACCATCTATGTGAAAATGTTTGGTAACTTGCAAAACATCTTACAAATAATATTTAGTAGTATTATTTCCTTGGTTGGAGGTTGGGGAGGAGGAGTGGGAGGACATGCCAAATAAAGTAGCTCAACAGGCTGGGCACTGTGGTTCATGCCTGTAATCCCAGCATTTTGGGAGGCCAAGGCAGGAGGCTTGCTTAAACCCAGGAATTTGAGACCAACTTGGACAACTAGTGAGACCCCCATCTCTGCAAAAAAAAAAGAAAGAAAGAAAGGCCAGGCACGGTGGCTCATGCCTATAATCCCAGCACTTTGGGAGGCTGAAGAGAGAGGATTGCCTGAACCCACGGGTTCGAGACCAGCCTGGGCAACATGGCAAGACCCAATCTCTACAATAAATTAAAAAGTTAGCCAGGTGTGGTGGCATGTGCCTCTGGTTCCAGCTACTTGGAAGGAAGGCTGAGGCAGAAGGATCACCTGAGTCCAGAAGGTCAACACTATGGTGGCCATGAGTATACCACCACACTTCAACCTAGGCAACAGATTAAGACTCCAACTCAAAAAAAAAAAAAAATTAGCCAGGCATAGTGTCATGATCCTATAGTCCCAGCTGCTTGGGAGGCTGAAATGGAAGGATCACCTGAGCCCAGGAGGTAGAGGCTGGGGTGAGCCATGATCATGCCACTATACTCCAGTCTGGGTGATAGAATGAGACCCAAGTCAAAGCAACAACAAAACAAAACAAAACAAAAGTCGCTTAAATACTGTTTATAGTAGTAAACACTTCTTGTCAGCCTCAGTCCCCAGAGGCAGAATGGCCAAGCAAAGAACATTCTCCAATTATTAAAAATGTTGGACCCCCTAGGCAGCCCCCTCAGGTCCCCTCTCACTGTGGAGCTTTTCTGTTTTCTCAATAAATCTTGCTTAAAAAAAAAATGTTGGACCGTCATTCTTCCAAAGTAAGCATAGCCGTACGGAAATGTGGATTTTTGTGTGTGTTTGTTGGGGATTGATCTGTTTAGGATATCAGAGGTGAAAGAAGTAGAGGAGGTAATCACCCTGCAGCAAGTTGATGACAAAAAAAAAAGAGAGAGAAGAAAGTTCCTGACAATTCCAGAAAGTATTTGTAAATCAAACCAGCACAAGGTGATAACTAAGCCTGAGTCTGCACATCAGTGCAAATGATTGGAAGAGGAAAATCAGTCATGTAACAGAGTATTTTGTCTGTGAGATGACAACCAATTAGGTTTCACCTAGTGCCCCCTTGCCCACTGATTTGGGGATTGTCCTGGCCTTGGGTTGATGTGGTCTGGATGCTCCTTGCTGCCTTCCTGTGTACCTGTCCTTACTCTGCCTTTCATTTCAGACTACATCAATCTGTTCAGCACCAAGTGTCACGGCTGCGATTTCCCCGTGGAGGCTGGTGACAAGTTTATTGAAGCCCTGGGGCATACCTGGCATGACACCTGCTTCATTTGCGCAGTATGTTTATAGCCTGGGGTTCTGACTTTGAGAAGTGGGCAGGAGAGAGGAAATGAGGGCCAGATGACCAACCCTCTACATCCCTTGCAACTCCAGCATTCTGATATCCTGGTCACTTTTAAATTTTTAAATTTTTTTAATTTTTGAGTTGCAGTCTCACTCTGTTGCCTAGACTGGAGTGCAGTGGCACACTGCCCAGCCACCACAGCCTCGACCTACTGGGCTCCGGCGATCCTTCTACCTCAGCCTTCCAAGTAGCTGGAACTACAGGTGCCCGCTACCCCGCACGGCTAATTTTTTATTTTTTATTGTAGAGACGAGGTCTCGCCAAGTTGCCCAAGTAGGTCTCGAACCCATGGGCTCAGGCAATCCACTCGCCTCAGCCTCCCAAAGTGCTGGGATTACAGGTTGAGCCACCGAGCCCAGCCTTTATTTTTTTGAGTTGGAGTCTCACTCTGTTGCCCAGGTTGGAGTTCAGTGGCACACTCATGGCCACCGCAGCCTTAACCAACACTGGGCTCAGGTGATCTTTCTGCACCTCAGCCTTCCAAGTAGCAGGAACTACAGGCACACACCACCACACCCAGTTAATTTTTTAAAAATTTATTGTAGAGGTGAGGTCTCACTAAGTTGCCCGGGCTGGTCTAGAATCCATGGGCTCAGGCAATCCTCTCACCTTGGCCTCCCAAAGTGCTGGGATTATAGGCGTGAGCCACCATGCCCGGCCTTCCTGGTCATTTTTAAAAGTTGGCAAATATCATGATACCTTGATATGTCACAGCTGAACAAAGTCTTTATTTTTATTTATTTTTATTTTTGTAGAGATGAGGTCTTGCTATGTTGTTCAGTTTGGTCTTGAACTCCTGGGGTCAAGTGATCCTCCTGCCTCAGCCTTGCAACGTGTTGGGATTATAGGCATGAACCACTGCATCCTGCCATGAACAGCTTTATTACTAATAATTATTTATCAACCAGTGTGGCTTTGTTATTTTCCATTTCATTAAGGACAATATAGTGTCCCAGTAGCTTGTCTTACTAGCAACACTCTTAGTAAGCAGGAGCAGCAAATGATGTTGGATTTAAAAGAGAGACAGTTGTCTTCCTATAGCTACACATTACTTCGGATACAACAAAGTGATTTGAGGGTTTTCCCCAAAATTTTTACCATGAACACTAGATTGGAGCTTATTGACTAATTCTATGAAATGTTGAGATAATGGCCAGGCTCGGTGGCTCAGCCTGTAATCCCAGCACTTTGGGAGGCCGAGTTGAGTGGATTGCCTGAGCCCACGGGTTCGAGAGCCACCTGGGCAACTTGGCGAGACCTCATCTCTACAATAAATCAAAAATCAGCCGGGTATGGTAGCACGCACCTGCAGTTCCAGCTACTTGGAAGGCTGAGACAGAAGGATTGCTGGGGCCCAGCAGGTCAAGGCTGCAGTGGCCAGAAGCGGCCACTGTATTTCAGTCTGAATGACAGAGTGAGACTCCAACACACACACACACACACAAATGTTGAGATAAGATTTGTCTTGATAGAACCTTTAGAAAGCAGGACTGAGTATCATTTTATTTTCCTAAGTGGTCCTGTTCTTGATATATATAGCTGTATTGCATGCTGCAAGGAGATAAGCCCTAGGTAAGCTATTAACCATGTGCAATTTATTTCTGCTGAACAGCCTGGTCATTTTTTGTATGTGGCTGGCATTTTCCTTCTAAGAGTTTTGGGTTGCATTGGGGATGTGATAGTGATCCTACAGACACTCAGACTCTGAGGTAGAGGTGGAGAATAGTCATCCCTGATAAAGCCCTGTAATGTCAATCTGTCATTACTAAACTTTATTTGGGAAAATTAACATGCTACTGCTATTTTTAAAAACCAGAGTTCTCAAGGTAAATTTTGGGAAGGTATAAAATATCTGTGCAGTTTAAACTTGAATAATTTTTATAGACTTATGACATAGGATGACCCTAGTCATAAAGTTTGCTGCCATCTTAGAACTTTTGGTTCTATGCTTCATTCTTAGACCCCACCATTTCTGCTATGCACTTTATTCACTCTAATGCTGCAATAACAAAGTACTGCAAACTGTTGGCTTAAACAACAGAAGTTTATGCTTTCACAGTTCAGGAGGCCAGAAGTTAAAAATCAAAGTGCCAGCAGGAAGGCATACTTTCTCTCCTAGCTTATGGTGGTTGTCAGCAATCCTTGGCATTTCTTGGTTTGTAGCTAAATAATTCCCATCTCTGAGCCCATTGTCACAAGGCTGTCTTCCCTCTGTGTGTCTGTGTTTTCTCCTGATGTTCTCCTCTGAGTGTGTATATCTGTCTCTGTGTGATTTCCTCTTCTTATAAGGACACTGCTCATATTGGATTAAAAGCCCACCTTACTCCATTATGATCTCATCTTAACTTACGCCTTAATTATCTGCAAAGATCCTATTTCCAAATAAGGTCACTGCTATGTCCCTGAACTGGGGTAGGAGGGAGGTACTGAGGATTAGCACTTTAGCACATAAATTTGGGGGGGACACAATTCAATACCTTAACACTCTGATTTTCCAACTCTTTGAACAGATTCTCTAGTTGCCTTTTAGGGTCCTTTCAATAGATCAGGTCCTCCGCTCCAAATAGGGACAATGGCATAAATTTACTGGCTTTGGGGTTGTCCCCTGCAGAGCCATGGATCAGCCAGGCACAGCCCAGGGCTCTCTGATCCTCATATTCAAGCCATGGTTGTCTGGTCCTGGGGCACTGCCTGCAAGTCTGGTTACTTAACTTCCAGAAGGATTCAAAATACTTGGAGAAGGTCCAGGAAGACAGCAGTACAGAAGGCATGTTCTGCAAGGTCAGGTTGATGAAAGGTCTGTGTTGCATGCAGAGGGAGCTGTGACAAAAGTAAGTGTGGGTCTGCTCCCGAGCCTGCTGTATTTGGCTAAGAGCTACACTAGTACATGTCCTGGAGAGAGACCAGAAGAAGTAGTAAAGCTTGGGGTGGTTCAAGCTAATATTACAAATAAGTTCCAGAGGATGACATCCAGTCAGGTGTGAGAGACCCACACCACTGTACTTTGGAGGATCAGCATGAAGATCATGATGTCTTCTGGTAAACCAGCCTGCATGGACCTCACTTTCCTGTTAAGATATAGCAAAATGCGCCGAACGTGGTGGCTCACGCTTATAATCCCAGCACTTTGGGAGGCCAAGGTGAGAGGATTACCTGAGTCCGAGGGTTTGAGACTAGTCCGGGCAACTTGGTGAGACCTCATCTCTACAATAAATCAAAAAATTAGCCAGGCATGGTGGCACATGCCTGAAGTTCCAGCTACTTGGAAGGCTGAGGAGGAAGGATTGCCTGAGTCCAGCAGGTCACGGCTGTGGTGATGGTGAGCATGTCACTGCACTCCAGCCTTGGTGACAGAGTGAGACTCTGACTCAAAAAAAAAAAAAAAAAGATATAGCAAAGTGGAACATAGATCTAAACTTTGGGAAGAAATCTTTTGATTGGAAAGCTTTGAGAGTTTTTTGTTTTTGGTCTTCTTTCTATCAGTTTATATTTTTAAACCACTTTTGATTAGCAGGCATTTTCCTATAACTTAAGAAAAAATAGTAAGAAAGGAAGTTGATGTTTTCCTACCAGTTAGATCTCAGAATAACACATTTTTTAGACAAATCTAGTTTGCCAAATGTTCCTGGAGTTTGGGGAGTAAGAGTATCCTAGAACAAGTTTTCACTTTCAAGGAATCTCGATTCTTGAAAGGAAAACAAAGCTAACAGATATGAGCAATTAATGAACAGAACAAGACATTCTCAAGTTCAAAGCATATAAAATGAAGGGTAGGAGGCTGAGATGTGCAGTGTGGGTAGGTGAGGATTAAGCTTCTGTCTGGCTGTGGCACTTGAGTTCCAACAGAAAGGATCTGCATTCTGCCTCAGTGAAAGAAAGATGTCTTACTGATTCCTCTTTTCTGCTTAGTTGGTTTCTCACACTTCCCCACTGGTGAGAGTAACAGGAAGAGATATGCGTTGGGATGACTTTTATAGGCAGCTATAGAGGCTGTTGCAACTGGCCTAGTTTATTGTCTTAACTCTGCTGGGACTGCAGTTAGCACTGTCCATGGCTACCACCCAGACCTAGTTTTACAGTCAGGCCCTGATGCCACCTGGCCACAGAGTCTGGAAGTGATACCATCCTAGCTGTCCCCCTGTGCTAGATTGGCTGGATGCCTCCTCCACCATGAGGCCATCCTGTACCAAGAAGACACTGGGCAGGCCCAACTCCCTATGAGAGTTCCTGCACTCAGTCCCCTCTCACCCATGAGCCACCTCTGAGATTCTGTCTCTTCTTCATTCCTCAGTCTTCAATCTCCTGACACCCTCCCTCACCATCCTGACTCATCCTAAAGTTCTCACAAATAACCAGCATTATCCCAGACCATGCTGGATCTCCCAGCCAGAGCTGCAGACGTTGACAGGCATCTCCTTGCCAGCTCACTCCAGAGCTGCCTTTCTATCTCTTCTGAAACCCATCTCACCAGTTAGATCTTTGACGACTACCTATTTGGACTGGTCTCCAAGTTGTTGCCAGAAGCTTGAGGCCTCCACCAGAGTCTGGTTATACGCAGGATCACTATATCCACCTGGGATGTTTTCAAATACTTTCCAGCTCATTGGCTTTAGGATCTATTGACAGTCCTGTGTGACTCCAAATATATCCTCACCAACTAGGCCATCAAGGCCTTGCACATAGGGCCATCATGATGCCCCTTGTCTTCCCAGCTCTCTTGGAGTGGACACATATTCACTGCGCCAAGCTCAGCTTAGGAGAGTACTTTCTCTATCCCCATGGCTACCTGTATGTGAGGACTCCGCCTACACTTCTTTGATGTCAGTATCCTGGATGTGGCTCCTAATTCTCCTCCCCAATAGGGATCTTCAGTGCTCATTCTGAGGCTGGGGCCTATCCAGCCAATATGGCTTCTTGGTTGACTCTAACATATTGACATGTTGCCAACCCAGAGCCCAACCTACAATATCAATAGTCCAAAAACTTTGAGGGCCACCTCTGTACAAATCCGTGAGCCAAGAAAAATTTCAAGTAAACATAGACCCTCTCTGATATGGGTTGTGGGAGAAATTAGCATAGAACTGTAGTCTATCAGACCTGGACACGAATTCCCCACTTTACAACTTACTAGGTCTGTGACTTATGCAAGGCATTTGGGCTCTCCACGTCCAGTTTTTTTCAATTGTGAAATGGGAAAAGGCACTCCTACTGTTGTGAGAATTAAATGACCTCATATATATAGGGCTGTTGTGAGAATTAAATGACCTCATATATATAGAGTATCTAGCATCCTGCTGACCCATGGGAGCCTCAACAAATATTGATTCATCCCCTTCTTCTGGGATGTCTCTAGTCTCAAACTGTATTCATATGTTGTCATCATGGGGATATATGATTTTGTCTTCCTTTTTTTTTCATACTCATATTTCTCTGCATGTACTTTTCCATATTTGACTTATCTTTTTTCATGATGACATTCCATTGGAAAAATGCAACATAAAAATTACTTATCCCCCTATTGAGAGAAATTTTAGTAGTTTTCAGTTTCTAGTTGAACACATGTTGCTTTCTTGTTCTATGGAGTTGTTTCTGCAGGATAAAATTCTCCAGAGAGGCATTACTGGGTTATAGGGTAGGCATGTCTATGGTTCTTGTTCAGTATTGCCACATCGCCTGCAGAACATTAAGCCGATTCACATGTTCTTAGCACTGCACAAGTAGGCCTCATTCTCTTTTTGGCATTGTTGATTTTTCTATTGAATTCTTTTTTTTCTTTCCACTTTTTGGCTAAAGCCATGCAAGGTTGAAGGTGACACACCATTGAGTTTTTTGTTGTTGTTGTTTTTGTTGTTGTTTTATTTTGCTAGATTAATGGTATCTCAAGACAGTTTTATTTTCTTTTTAATTAATAGTGAGGATAATCTTCCTGGATATGTTTGTTTACTAGTGATATTTTTTTAGATGTTAATCCTCTCTGAGAGTATAGACTTATGAACTTGTATTGATTCCTTATACATTTTGGATATCATGAATTGGTCATCTTTATGGTACATATTTTCTTTAGTCCATTAAATTTAATTAATTTCATTTGAGTTTTATTCTATCTTCTTCTTTGGAAGTCTTAATCTTTATATAGTCCAAGCCATCTACTCTGCTTCGGTCGTTGAGAATTTGTAGTGGGCAGAAACAGGTTGTTGCCTTTTCTCCAGACTGCAGTCACAGGGCTTTTTCTTGAGGGGATGACTAGAATCTTTTGTTTGTGTCCCCCTGCTGTTTGGGTTGCATTTTACGCAAGTCTGTTCTCTGTTCCAGGTCTGCCATGTGAATCTGGAGGGGCAGCCATTCTACTCCAAGAAGGACAGACCCCTTTGCAAGAAGCACGCTCATGCCATCAACGTGTAGGGGCCCGAGAGCATCTGGCACTGAGGAGGCCTGAGCTGCTCCTGCTGCTGGCAACAAAGGATTCAAGGAGGCTGAAGTTTCTTTTGGGGGAAAGGGAGAAGAGAAGAAGCAATTGAGTCCTTTTGAAGTATAATTTTAGTTTTTTTCTTCTGTACACAGATCACATATTTGCATAGCTCAGACTAGAAGCCAAATGAAGATTCTAAACCAAGCTAGTAATTAATCTGGAATTGTACTTCAAACATTTATAACAGAATTCCAAGAACTCAAAAGTGAAAAGCAAAAAAGCAGCTTTCCCAAAGTGATACACTTCCCTGCTGTCACCAGAGTAGGAACAGAGCTCAGAGCAGTTATGAAGAATCCAAAGCATTCTGCGGAGTTCTTTAGCGCTCCCCTGGCAAACAAAATGAAGTACCAAACAGTTCTCGCTGCAGGGTATTTTTAGAGCCATAGCTGAGAGCTTGTTAGCTAAGACCTATTGGGCTTTCCGCACCAAAAAAGGAAGTGTTATTCCATTACTAGCGTCATGGAGCTACCTCTGCGCATCAGACTTCAGACCTTGAACAAACTTGAAATGTTCTAAAGGGAGCCCAGACGTTCAAAGAGATGTCTTCTGGGAGTCACTGGGCAATTGCCAGGGCTCCAAGAAGAGCTCTGGCTCATGCTGCACACAGCTGAGAAAAGATGGACCCTTCTTCAAAGATAGGCCTCTTTCAGTTTGAAACATCCAGTGTCCCCAGAAGGCTTAGCTCCTTTTTGAATTGTGATGGGAAAGTGGAATTGGGTTTTTCCAGTTTTGCTTTGCAGCGTATAAGAGGAGATTTTAAAAAGACTCTGGGTTGTGTTTGGCATTTGTTTTGCTGTAAGAGTTTTGTTAGCATGGGTGTCCAATAGTGTGCATGTATCTCACCCTCAACCCCATGATGACTGCTCATAATGATGTCTTCCTCAGCATCTCCCATTTCAAACAGGGTTAGTGGCCTGTGGAAAAGAAGAGACAGTCAGTAACTGAAACAGGATGACAGAATAGGCTAACATACCCAGACTCTGGGAGGAACCTGAATTTCTGTCAGCCTCATCAAGAATGCACAAGGGTTGCTGGGCGTAGTGCCTCACACCTGTAATCCCAGCACTTTGAGAGGCTGAGGCAGGAGGATTGCCTGAGCCCACAGGTTTGAGACCAGGCTGGCCAACATGATGAGACCTCGTCTCCACAAAAAAATCAAAAAATTAGCCGAGTGTGATGGCACATGCCTGTGGTTTCAGCTACTTGGAAGGCTGAGGTGGAGGATTGCCTGAGCCCAACAAGTCAAGGCTGCAGTAGCCGTGAGCATGCCACTGCACTCCAGCTTGGGTGAGAGAGTGAGACTCCTACTCAAAAAAAAAAAGAATGCACAAGGGGGCAGAACCTCCCACCTTCAGATCTGCACCATCCTTTTCACATGTTCTTTAACTACAGCGCACTGATTATGTACAGTTGTGTTGACTGCTGGAAGGGAAAGATAAAGTGATATATATGCCTTTCTTTGCCATTTTGGACAATATTCAAGAAAATGTATGAGCTAAGTTGATCTAGCAATTATTTAAGTATTTATTGAAGTAGACTTGGACCTTCAAACTTCTTTCCAATATTAGTGATAGTTTGAAGCAGATACGCATTTTAAACTGTTTGGTTGGAAATGGTATAGTCCCCTTCCTTTTTAGGAAGCACTGTTAGTTTTCTTGTTGAAAATGGCACTGAAGCAGGCAGTTTGCGTGGATGTTTTTCACTTGAGCACGATATGTAGGCATTCTTCCAACTCACTGCTCTTCTGTCCTCACTCCTGTTTTGGATTTTTCTCTTTACACATTTGAAATGTGTTATGGCAATGCATTAGAACTCTTTTTCCTCTCAGAACTGAGGCTTCCAGGGGACCACCATCCTACCTGAGTATGTCTCTTCCCTCTGAGACAGAGAAGGAAACAGCTAGCTGTGTCCCTATCAGGAAATCTATATTTTTTCCAAGTGTGAAGCCACCAATCACCCCCAGGGAGCATCAGGGAGGGACATAAATGTGCTACTATCTCAAGGTCCTTTATACCTTTGGTGCCATGAGAAAATGAATACAAAGCACCAGGCAGAGTAAAATCTATTGGGATTGCCTGGATATTTGTCAGGAGTTGCAAACAAGTACCTTGGAGCATTCTATTCTTACTGGAAAGTTCAAATATACAGGGACAAAAAGGTTGCTGACTATACAGAAAGGCTCTAAATAGATTTTCTCCAAAAACAATCTATTAAGTTATCAGGGACTGGTCTCAAGGAAAGAGACAAAAAACTCCCAGATTTCAGTTTCCAAAATGTCTTTTTAAAGATTTTAAACACACACACACACACACACACACACACACACACACACAATCATTAAAAAGTATACGATCATTAAGAAGAAGCATGGAATATCTCAAAGGACAGTTTTACCATAGTCCTTTATTAAATAGATTTTTCCACATTTCAGAGCTACTGTAGATTCTGAGGGACTCTTTCATTTACCAAAAAAAGAAAAACAAAACTAAACAAGCAAGAAACATTTTTAAGGTAGCAGGAAAAGGAGGTAATTTTGAGTGTGGTTAACTCAGTGTCTGTAAGTCTGGTGTGTAGTATCAGGATTAAGATTGTATCTAAAAGTTAAAGTTAACATCATGGATGTCCTACAACACCAAACACAATTTCCAGTAGTCCATGGTGGGGATACACTTTGGAGCTACAGTTATCTCCTCATTGTTGACATTAATTTAACATTTATAGACATAACTTTTGCCACTGAGTGATTTATATCTGCAGTGTTTGTGTTAGGAATCTAGCTTTTATAATGTTAACTTTTCAACCTAGGTACTGTTGCTTTGGAATTTTTTTTTTTTTTTTTTTGGTAAAATATTAGAAGTGGAATGTAGTGTGTTAGAGGTGTGCACAATTTTTGCATGATTTTTGCATGTTTTTTTTTTGGCCTGTGTGAATTCTACTTTTTAGCAAAATAAAGTCCCCAAAAGTATGTGCAAATACAGATTTTTTCTGTGTAGAGTTTTTTAATATGGCATCAAAAGTAGCTTATTTCTATATGGGCATACATTAAGGTTTGAGACAAAAAATTTCCTTTGGAGAAGAAACACAACTTACTTGCTCTGTCGCTCAATAGCAGTTTGAGCACCTTGTTTAAATAGAAGTATGCGTATTTGTGTTATGTGAATAATACAAATCCTTTGCAGACAAAAGGACTTTACCAGGCAAATAATAAACTGAAAACCAGGGTTTGTCTTGTGTTTTCAGAAAGGTTTGTTTATTTAGCTACTTGGTAGTCAAATATTTCCGATTACTATTTTTATTCTGCTATAAATGGCTTCGTTTCTAAAAAAGTTGCTATATTTCCTTTCATACAATTTGCTTTCAAATAAGGTCAGAGTAAAATCCTCCCATGGCATTTTTAAAAAAATAAAGAAGATCCTTCTGAGAGTACTATGTGTAACAAAACCAAATTCATTCTTTTTCAAGGTATTCTGTTTCTAGGCATGACTTAAAAGTAAAAGGGGGTACCAAGTCCTCAATAAACCTGTTTTTCTACTCTTAAAAAGTAAAGGAAAAATTTTCATAATATATTTGATTTTTAGCACCTGAATCAGAGAAAGAGCCATACAAGTACATATAGCAATAAAGTCTCTTTATATTATTACCTGTTAAAGCTATAACAATTTTTAAAATAGATGGAGGGGGAAAAGGCTCACAGAAGCATAGGATTGAAAGCTGGATGGAATCTAAGAGACCATCTAGGCATTTTCCAGATGCTGAAACTGAGACCCAGAAGGAGGAAGTGGCTTCCTCAGCACACACAACCAGTGAGCGAGGCAGCAGCCAGGTGCCACGGAATAAACATGGACTTTGGCATGGTAAGCCCAGGGTTTAGACGGAGGCGGATGTATACCACTTGAGTGGCGTTGGGAGAGTCTCTCTAATCCTGCTTATCTACCTGAAAATGAAGGTAGTAACACCTCCCTCACAAGGATATTTGAGAACCAAATGCAATAACTCTTGGAAGAAAATGGCAGTGCAAATGTTAGTTATTATTATTAATAGAATGATAGCTCTTTACTCCTCCTTCATTTTCTTAACTCAGCTTGCCCATCCAGAAAAATGCATTGGGAAAACCAGTAGCGAGAATAAATAATGCACAAATAGTCCAGAAATATAAACCACCCAAATCACAACTTGGTATAATTAACTTGTACCAAATATTTTTGCCCTCTACACTAAAAACATGTGGACAGAACAAATATTGTTTGTTCATTTGCTCATTCATTAGTTCATTCTTTCAATAAATATTTATTGAGCACCTACTAGGTACTAGGGACTACTCTGGACACTGACAACATGACAGTGAATACAACAGATAAAAACCTCTGCTCTCATGGAATTTACATTCTAGTGGGTTATAATCAGCTGAACAAGATAAATAACTAGAATATGGCCGATTAATTCCATGAAGAAATATTTTGACAATTTAAAGCTCTACAGGGTGACACTGGCATTCAGCTGGCCTTATACTCTTTAATGATAAGGACATGAAGTAAAGAATGGGTTCCAGATGGGGTAAGACTGGGAAATAGCTATGGATGCTGTTCACCCTAGAGATTCCCAATACACATAAGTGAGCTGTGTGATACTCAGTCCCTCGATAAAGAAATCTGTTTAACTTATGTGAGTTCAGAATATGGAACTCCAATTGGGAAACACTGCCTAAAGTATTGGTTTAGGATTTCCTGAGTTCTAGCTTTCCGAGGGCAATCCCAATGTCAAAGCATCATCATTTGTAATGCTCCACTCACATACTTAAACCATTTGGACAACTTGGGCAGTATAGTTTTTCATGCCATAAACATTTCCTGAGTGACTAGGCTTTGTTGTAAGTATGAAGGATGACAATACGGACAAGGTTTCTGCTTTCATAGAGCTTACACTTTGAAAGGAAAAGATAGGTAATAAACAAGTAATACATCATTGAGATAGTAAATGCTGTAGGAAAATGGAAGAGAGTGATGTGCTGGTAGGGTGAGGGACAGACTTTTTTTGATTGAGTTGTCAGGGAAGTCCTTTCTACTTTCTGAGGAGGTGACATTTGAGCTGAGTTCTGAATGATGAGAAGAAACCAACCATACCCACGTTTCAGGTAGAGTGCTCAAGATGGAAAAATAAATGTAAAGGCTGCAGAGCTCCTCAAACTTTTAAAACAGGAGGCCAGTTCACTGTCCCTCAGACCGCTGGAGGGACGGACTATAGTTTAAAAAAAAAAACTATGAACAAATTCCTTTTTTTTTTTTTAAACTATAGTCCGCCCCTCCAACGGTCTGAGGGACAGTGAACTGGCCCCCTGTTTTAAAAGTTTGAGGACCCCTGCAAGGGAACAATCTTGTCTTAGCAATGACACAGCGCTTGAGATAGAAGTGAGGGGAAAGGGGCAGGGGAGGAGGCAGAGAGCACAGAGGGCCTTGGAGGCTGTGCTAAGACATGCTGCAGAAGGCCTTCAAATGCCTGCCAATTGCAAAGAGAGGAAATAAATAGTTGACTGCATATAAAGATAAATAATCTGGCTTTTGATAGAAGAATGAATTTTATTTTTCCTATAAGACTTTCTACTTGCAAAAATGTTCAAAGCTGCTCATCAAGCAGTCTGCACGAATATGGTAAAACTGTCAGGGTTGTTTAATGTTGTCTAAGGCCTGGGAAATATGAATTCTGTGTGGATATGGCACAGCTTTGTTTTCTGATG